ACACACACACAAAGTACAAATGTATAAAGCTGTTTATTATTGAAGATACTAAAATCAATAAAAAGTATCGCAACATACACAGCATGTCTGCGGACAATGGTGAAATATTTTTTGTCATGTTCATGTTTTAATAAGCTTTGAAAACGTTTTAAGTCAACACAAGTATTCGATATGCTCACATTGTTTCCATTTAGCAACTTCTTGTCAATGAATGGAAGAGAAATATATTTGTAGCTATTATAAGCTATCACGACCATCCAAATTCAGGATATTATCACATACATATATTCTCATATTTGCAGCAAATATAGCACAGTGAAATTAAAAGGAACTCCAATAAAGTTAAATATATTGGGTAAGTATAAATATAAAAATAAATAAATAAATAAATAAATAAATAAATAAATAAATAAATAAATAAATAAATAAATAAATAAATAAATAAATAAATAAATAAATAAATAAATAAATAAATAAGTGTTAATATGTTTCAGATGCTGTAGTAAGTCCTCCGCAACTGCCGATGTGCGGTCCCGATCTACCTATACCATTATCAGATGGCTACTGGGTGAACTTTACCACTTTCGTTCCTCTTGTTTGTCAAAGTAAACAATGGAAACCAGAAGAAACTGACAAATGCTTAGCTGACACAGAGATCCTTGGTGTTGGCGACTCAACACTTGGACCATTAGCTTACGAATTTATCAAATCACCAGAAATGTGGAAGAAAAACTTTCATTTTATGACGCCGCGAATTGCCGGTCCAAAAGTTCCGATTATGGAGACTGTATTCGAAAGCGATATGATTAATAATATTACCAAAGCACAATGTCAAACCAAAACGCCGATAGTGCTTCTAAATTTCTGTTTTCACTACGCGTTTTGGTCTACCAGAGGATACGTGGAACGTCTTGTGCGAGTGAAGCTGGCGGTGGAACGACTTTTTCAAAGGTGTCCAAATTCGAAAGTTCTACTAAAACTAGCACATGCGCGGGATAACCTATATAAGGCACAGAATATACACAGCAACAACTGGATATTCTACGATATGAACAGAATACAACGACGTATATTCGGTGGAACTGGCGTTCTTTTCCTCGACCCTTGGGATTTAACGAATTCAGCGTTTCAAGAAAACACTATTCACATGGGTCCTACGGTCCGACGCCAAGAGTCGTTTCTCGCGCTATCATATTTATGTCCAGAAATGGCGATGGTGCAATAGTTTCTGCTGATAGGTCACAATTATAATATATGTATCAATTGTTGTTACATCACATTAAGCACACTTACACAGCCTCTGAATTATGTATTAGCAGTTCACTGATCAAATAATCCAACACTATATTATGAATACATAAATGTGATAGTGGAATAGAGCTTCAGTCTTTTTTCGAATAGAAAATTAAAGTTTGCGCTATTAGGTTCAGTAAGCAAAATATGGTAAATGGAAAAATAACGTTGCATTATTGAAAATACATGGAGAATAACACGCCTCAAATCTCAGATTATGCGCTTCTTACCGTATTTGTTAATAACCACTGACAGTGGCTCTTCAACTGCCGCTGTAGGAACAAAATAATTGATTGCACACTGAACAACGAATTGTAAAACCTATTAATATGCGCAACACTATAAACTTCCCCGAGCAACAACAGAACCGCATCCAATACTACCAATTGGTGGACATACAAGCGAAACAAAGCACACTGTTACCAAATGGTGGCAAACCTTCGCATTCGCCAAACAACCCAATCTAAAACGCAAAGATAAGTATTTGTGGTACCGGTGCTGACAAAACAGTATACGAGAAACGATAACGGCCTACATGCCCGCATTCGCATTCTGTATGGTGGTTACTATGTGGCAATGTGCAGAATTACCACTACTTGTACTATCACGTCACACCTTTCAGTGTACAGCACTGCGCCCTCAATAGAGCCATGCCCTCTATGAAACGACAAGACAACTCATTACGCTGTGTGACGCTAGAATATTGTTTTTAATTGTAAAATTAAATACATAGCAATTGATTTGTTTATAAATGCATATTAATTAAGGAAATCTAAAGTTAGCTATTTTGGCAACTCGTTCATTATACAACAGTCTGCATGTTTTGCTGAAAACAGATTCACGTTCGCATTTAACCTGCCTTACTGCTGAATTGTTAGACTTATTAAAACATATTTTAGAAACCACACCCACTTTTAGCAAACACTAAATTGTTAGACAAGCAAAAAAGTAATAATGAAACACGCTATCCTGAAAGAAAACAAACAATGTCGATAGATCGTGAACGTAAACAAATATAAACAGAAAGAGAGCATAGCTGCTCATTTCAATCACATTGCCTACAGAAGGCTTCCCTTTTGTCCAAAAAAACAACAATGAACTTAAATTTGATTGTCGACCATGAAAAACATGGAAGAAAACTGACATTCAATCCAGGGTATACGAAGCCCCAGTTTGATTGACTGCAAAATATGACAGTTCATTTGTTTGGGGCGGTATCTTCCCGCAGCTGTACCAATACTGCACTTCAATGAACCGCTGAGGCCAACAAAAACTACTTTGGTGCAGATGTTGTGATTACAGTCCTCAGAAACTTCTATGTTGATGACTGTTTAAGTCTGTAGAATCTGAAACAAAAGCTATAAGTTTGGTACATGACCTGAGAGATCTGTATCAACAAGGTGGATTTAACCTAACAAAATGGATGAGTAACAGTTGCGTTGTCCTGTCGTCGATTCAGACTGAAAAGTGTTCTAAGAAAGTTAAGCAAATTAACCTCGACTATGATGATATTCCAGTGAGCGTGCTTTAGGAGTGTTTTGGTTGGTTGAACTAGACATGCAAGATTATTGTGCTAGACCGACCAACCACTAGGAGGGGAATATTGTCCATCGTCAGTTCCATCTACGGTGTACTCGACCTTGTGTCACCATTTATACTCCAAGCAAGAATACTTTTACAAAGCTTGTGACAGCAAGGCAGTGAATGGGATGAGCTTACTGAAGGGGCTTGTCTTCAGGTGTGGCAGAAATGGCTGTCTGGCTTGCCAAAATTGGAGCCATTCTCAGTATCGAGGTGTTATAAACCTAAACATTTTGGTGAAGTACTTTAATGTTAACTACATAATTTTAGTGATGCCAGTGAACAAATATATGGGATAGTATCGTATCTGCATTTGGTCAATGAGAGAGGAGAAATTCATTGCTCCATACTTCTGGGAAAATCTAGGTTGCACCCCTTAAAATGATGATGATACACCGCATGAAACTGACAGCAGCAACACTTTCAATACGAATGAATGAGAAACTGAAGAGAGAGTTGGATTACAACATTGACAAGTCCTATTTTTAGACATATAGCATGTCAGTGCTGAGACACATCACTAATGAGACTACACACTACCATATATTTGTCTCTAACCGTGTGTCTACAATTCGTGAGGGATCAGAGGTGTCTCAATGAAGGTACATGAATACGAAATTAAACCCATCAGATGATGTTTCAAGGGGTTTGATAATAACTGACTTCATAAAATGCAAGCGATGGGTTACTGCTTCAGGTTTTCTGAATGGCCAGAGAATCAAGTAGTCTTAGAGAGGATCCACGATGAGGATCCTGAAGTGAAGAAGCTCTCAGATATTGTTCTAATAGATGAGCAATCTAGCTTCATGAGTAGTCTAATTTGACTTTTTTAAAGCTCGATATCACTGAAGCGAACAGAGAATGTATCTTAACTGGTAAGAAAATTTACAACGTTGAGACAATCTGCGAAAACAAATGAGAAAGTATGTCTGCAGATGTAGATCCTGAAAAACGAGAGCAGCTTGTTGATGACAATATAAGAA